GCAGCTCATATACTACTCAGATGGAGCAGCTTGATTTTTTTTATAGAACTTAATCCACCTTTAACATGGGCAGTGCTTCCATTCACAGAAATCCAGGCCAGCTCAGCTGGGGGAAGAGCTGGGCCACTCACCACAGTTTTGCACAACTTGCCATTAAACTGACTTTGAAGTCCATTTTCTGGCCGAATAAGGTTTGGTGCCTGTCTAGTGCCTCCCCAACTCCCATAGAGTTGTGTATGTGAAAGATGAGGGTTTTGCTATCATAGAGGCCATAGATGGGGATGGTGGAGAGCTTAAGGGCATTTCAGTTAAAAACTGACATATAGACTTGCAGAGAAACGGCTGCCACCTTTCTTACCTGAAAATAGCCTGGGGTCTGACCTCTCCTGCCTCTGGGCCCTTTCTGTGGACACTGGCTGATGAAATAAAACGTTTAGGTTTTATGGGCCTGTCTTCCAATGCGTCTTATGTGCAGTTACACATATTTCACTTCTCGGGTATCCGTCCTACAGCCCCCAGAGCTGCTGGTTGGAACTTAAGCTAAACATTTGGTTACTGGGGTCGGTGGACTGGCTGCTGCTGCCGGTTAGAAATCATGGCTCAGTTCCTGAGCGTATTGAAATGAAATATAATCCATCATGTGCTTTTGTACTTGCAAGTTCAGCTTAGCCAAAATCGCACGCAACTGGGCAGTTTGAAGGAACATGGACGCGTTTTTATAAGTAGAGATTCCGGTCAAGCATGTCCTTTGGGATAAGCATTAGAACTTTAGTTTCATAGTGAACGTTCCCATTTCTGTAGAAAGAAACCTTCACCTGGGGTTTGGACATAGTACTGACCTCTACTACTTTATTAAAATAGTCTTTTTTTTTTTAACTGCCTCAATTTTTAAGTAATATATAGGAAATGATGTTTCGGGGGTAATATACATTTTCTAGTACACATTAAAATAAACATATATTAAAATTTTTAAAACCTCATGTACAACCAAAATCATCTTTTACATTAAATGTTGGAAAATACTGCTCTAGTCTAGTTCATTCATTTAAAGGACGTGGTAAGGCTCTTTGATGTTTACACTGGCCTGTAGCCAGCACTCTGAGTTACACCAACCAACCAACTGATTTTGTTCAAGTCATACTTCTCCAATTCTTTTGTGATAACTCATGAAAGGTTTGGTCAAATGCTTTGTTAAAACCAAACCACTTCATGTCTGTGGTCTTGTCTTCATCTAGCAGAGTGTTATATGGAAGGGGTTGCACTGGTGTAGGGATTTCTTCAGTAAGTCCCCTGCAAAACATTTGTAAATGTCTTCTCATTTCATGAGAACAGGCGAAGCCCCAGCGAGGAATAATTTTTAAGTATATGGGTGGGTGTGTAAAGATGAAAAACAATCGTATTTTCTGACAAGAACTCATGGAGAAAGATTGAGAACAAATGGCAACATGCCCCACTGATTTTCAACATAACCCATTCAGCTTCTCACTATTCATCTTCTGCTGTGCACCTAGAGGCAGAGTCGCCAACTCTTTGGCACAGTCATCCCTGAATGAAGCAGAGGTAATTGCGCATCCATTGTTGTATCTTGGCATTTTCTTCAGCACGATCAGTGCCTTCTGGGGGTATGAAATGGTTAGGTCTGACTTCCAGCCTTGCCCATTGCAACAGAATAGGAGTCTGAGGACTGACCCTGATGCAGGCGAATGAGGTTCAGATAGGCAAACGTGGCTCTGTGATGGATGCAGCATTAAGAGCCAGTGCCCCTGACAGCAGTTTGGGTAGAAGGGCATAAACTGTGAAATCTCAGTGATGTGGACCTGGGGGGCGGGGAGGTGAGGGGAGGCTCAGAAGAAGAGGGTTGGGCATTCTCTACAAGGAGGTCTTCAAAGACAGTCAATGAGGCCCCAGAAGCCTGGCAAGATTGAGTCAGGACCCAGGTCCTAGGAAACAACTGAAGTGACCACAGTATGTAGAACAGGAAGAGAAATCAAAGCAGAGACCTAGTTACAAGAATGAGGGCACAGGGGTTAGAAACTGGGCAACAACTCAGAGCAAGGTCACTAGAGTTAGAAGCCACACCAGGGGTCACCTAACCAACCACGCATGTTGTTGCCAAGCCTGCTCCACTGTTGCTCTCAGGAGGCTTAATTATCTCCTGGTTTAGGTTAGTAAAGGCCTAAGGAATGGAGGGTGGGCTGAGTGTGCAGGTGGGACTCCAGTGGCCCCCGTGATGGTGCAGAGCAGGAATTCATCTCAAGGCAACAAAACTCATGTTTTCCCCATTGCACCCATCCAAAAAAGACACATACACACTTCTGCAAGAGAGAGATCACACACACACACACACACACACACACACACACACACACTTCTCCAAGAAAGAGAAAGACACACTAGTTCTTGGGATGTTCACTAGACTAGAAGCCCTTTAAGAGCAGAAACCGTTGTATTAGATCACTTGTATTAGATACTCTCGGAGTGCCTAGCAGGGCCTGGCACATGCTCAAGGAATATTTGTTGAACAAAGAGAGACAGTCTGTATTAGATGGGCATCCCATGAGGCTCTCCCAGAGTTTCGGTGCGATGTCCTCGCCCTAAACATTCTATGCCCTTCACTGTTTTTATTCCGTGATATCCAAGCAAACTGCTGATAGAAAAGTTGATCCTGGTTTCTTCATACTGGAAGTGAAGCAGATCCAACCACTAGTCGTTACTTTTCTGTGGCATTTACTGTGTTGACATCTGGTTAGTACCTTGGTGACATGTGGATTAGTGGAGAGTGACGGTCTCTGAGCAGGGACACTACATCTCCCTATTGGCTCATCTACTGGCTCAAACACTGTGAATACAGACAATCAGGTTTTGTCTTGAGAAATCGAAGCATCTCCCAACATTGGGTCTACTTCACTGCGTGGCTGCCACCAGTGGCTACCGAGTGATGTCCCTGTTCGTACCAATCTCTGCCCTCTCCTGACCAAGATGCTTCATGTCAGCTGATGTGTCTCATCAGGTATGAACTGTTATTCTTTCAACAAAGTGCAGAGTGAGCTACTGTATCGTGTGCCCTCCAACCATGTATATCACCTTCCTGATGAGTGTCAGCAGTTGAGTGTGAGAACCTTGCTCCACTGGGTAGCTCATCTGGCCTCCCCAACAGCAGCCACCATTCCCTGAGCCCTTATCTACCCAGCCCTGACTTAACGCTTTCCAGACATGACCTCTTTCATGCCTCTAAAACCCTATGGAGTAAATATGAGCTATCATGTCCATTTTATGAGTGTGGAAGCTGAAGTTCAAAGAGCTAAGTTACTTGCCCAAGATTATAAAACTTCTAATTGGTGACACTGAGGTTCAAACTTTGGTCTGCCAGAGTCCCCAGCTGGGACCTTAAAACTTCACATGCACTGCCTCTGAGCAGTAATCTTACAACAATGGAATTACTGCCCCCAGGCAGTGTTTCTCCCTCACACTCAGTCCCTGGGGCTGACTACCGGGAAGAGGGGCTGACCAGCCCTGCCCTCCCCTTGGCCCATGGTGCCAACGCACTCCTTGTCACTGTCTGATGGAACTTTGCTTTGTTGGCTCTGAGAGCTGGAGAGGGAGGACAGCGTGCTGGGGTCACTGTGACTCTGGGCAGCAGCCCATTCATTCATCACTGTCCCTGTTCTGCGTGTGAGCAGCTGGGCCGTCCAGTGCTATCCCACGGTTGTCCCTGGGAAGCTCCTATAAAAGGACTGAGCTCTAGCCTCGCAGCTCCCAGACCATGGACATGGGGAGACTGCTGCTGTGGGTCGGTGAGTGTGTCACTCATCCAGGAGGTGCCTGGCTTCCTCAGTCTGTCAGCCCTCTGTGCCAGGAGGCAGCCTGGGCCTCCCGTAGCCCGGATTAGAGAGAGGTGGACGGGACACAGTGAGAGGCCAGAGGGCCCCAGGGAGGAGTGATGAGGGAGTGGTTGTCAAACCTGGCTGCACATTAAACACTTTTATGTCTGGTTTCCACCTCGGACGAGTTAAATCAGAATCTTGGTAGGGAGGAGCCGGGATGGCACTGCTTTTCCATCGGCAGCAGGGCCTGGAGCTTTGGCCGGGACTTCTGAAAGTCCTGGTTGTCCCTGTGCACAGCGTGTGTGTAGCTACGTGGTGGCCACCAGAGTGAGAAGGAGTTAGGTAGGTCTGGCCCCACTGACTCAGCGTAGAGACAAGAAAGAAGTAAATGAACAGCTATGGTGCTGGGCCGGTGGCTGTTCTTGAGGGCTGGAGGGCGTGCTGGGGTGTGTCACTTGCTCTGGGCTATGAGCTCTGGGCGGGCACTGACTCTGTGGGATCCCTTCCTTTGTTTGCTGCAGGGCTGGCTCTTGCGCTGAGACCCCGGGATGGTAAGGAGACTGAGCCCCCCGCTCCAGAGCCAGGTCGATTCTGTGGCTGAGTCGTGCTCTGCGTTGAGGTCCCCCGCGTCCTGACCCTGCCCTGGTCCTGTGTCAGGGTCACTGACCCAATCCAGTTCAGCAGAGGATTCTGTCACCTGCTGTTGGTGTCACCATCTGCTGGGATCCAGACCCGGAAATCTGCTCTGACCAGGATTTCCCAGGCCATTCTTTTCCTTCTGGGACCTCAGCAGTGGGGGGTGTCTGTGTGTGTATGGGGGTGAGGGGTGTGGCAGTGGCCTGACCTCTCGGGCTGTGTCCACGCTGCCCTGTGGAAGCTGAGCCCCCTCCTCTCCCTCGGTCTCTGTTGACTAATGTATGCTCTCCCCTGCCAGGCGCTGCCCACAGGCTGGTGTGTTATTTCACCGACTGGGCACACCGTCGCCCCGGCCCTGCCTCGGTCTTGCCCAGTGACCTGGACCCTTTTCTCTGCACCCACCTGGTATTGGCCTTCGCCTCAATGCATGACAACCAGATGGTGGCTAAGGACCTCCAGGACGAGGACACCCTCTACCCGGAGCTCAACAAGCTCAAGGAGAGGTGTGTTCACATGGATGTGGCGGCCATACGTTCAGATTTTACAGACGGACGAGAATTAAGACACCCCCCCCCCTTTTTTTTTCCGGTTAATCCTCACCCAAGGATATTTTTCCATTGATTTTTTTGGAGAGAGTGCAAGGGAAACATTGATGTGAGAGAGACACATTGATTAGTTGCCTCCCGCATGGGCCCCAACCAGAGCTAGGGATCGAACCTGTAAACCAGGACTCTTCAGTGTATGGGCTGATGCTCTAACCACTGAGCAAGGTGAGAATGAAGCCTTTTGTTATTTGTCAACTGTTCCTCCATTCTTCTGGTCTGAGCCTCCCTCGAGCAGGACTCCAGAATGTCCCTGAGTTGGGACTCCCTGCTGATAAACACCCTGAACTTCTTCTAGCCCCCCACCCCCGCCTCTGCCATGGCTGTTGCCTCTGCCTGGAATGTTCTTCTTGCCCTTTTGGGCCTGGCTACCCCCAACTCTCCCTTTAAGGCCAGTGGGGAGGATTCCAGGCCTTTATCCTGTTAAAGTGCCCCATCCCAAATGCTTCACAAACACCTGCATTTTAATTGCCTGCAACCCCCAAGTTGTGAACCTCTAAGGGGCTCCCTGGAGGGGGATGCCTTTCGGTGGATTATGCCCTGCTCTTCTCCTTTGTTCCCCTTTCCTGTGCTCTGCTCTGCTCCTTCCCTCCTCCTGCCCTTTCACTTTCCTTCCCTCCCACCCCTACTTCCCATTGTTCCGCCAATGAATGCAGCTGCCCACTGACCTCCCCGCATCACAGGAACCCGGAGCTGAAAACCCTACTGTCCATCGGCGGCTGGAACTTTGGCACATCCAGGTGAAACTTTGCCGTCCCCATCTTCTCTCTGGGCAGGGGCGATGGCAGGTGGGAGGGTGGAGCAGGCCGGTAGGAGCAAGGGCAGGTGGGGAAGCCAGAGGAGCTAATGCAGACGCTTGCCCCAGGTCCTGATCTGGCCCTGGAATCAAGGGCCCCCTGACCTCTCCACCTGAGCGAGACTCAGGGAAGTTCTCACAGGTGATGGGAAAGGGGGTGGGAGAAACGAGGGGCAAAATGGGGCCCTCACAATTGTCCCCTCAACCCTTCATAAGAGGCAGGGGTTTGCCTTAGACAGGGGAGGAGTCTTGCTTACGGCAAGAGGAAGAAACCCCAACCCTCATAGGGCCCGAGGTTACTCACTTTATAAACGGATATTTACAAGTACCCACCTCAAAGGGTTGGTCGGGGTGTGGGGTGTGGGAAGGAAGTAGAGCAAATGAA